TTTAAGGAAAAAGTAGGAAAATTTTCGGGAAATTCGGAAAACTTGATGGGAAATTTTGGGGTAGAAAAAGCTGATGGGGGAAATTTGTAGGTAGGTGTTGGGGATGGCGGTGGAGGGGGGTCGTACAGAGGTCCACATTTAGGTCGGGGGGAGAGGTCGTACTGACACCACCACCTCACACATCACGATGCTGTACTCTCTATGGGCAGCTCTAGACATATCCTGAAGCTGTAATCAGTCAATCTCTTATTGACCCCACCCCGAGCAGCCAGACTGGCGCCACGACAAAACCCACTCGCCACTGAAACATCCGCGACTGGCATCTGTCACAATGACTGTGTTTACTTGGCATGCCGGGAGGTCTTCTTTGGCTACAGAGATCAGGGGACGCCGCACGTTGGGGACCCTTCTACGCAGGGAGGGGGGGGTGTATCTTAATAGTTGGAATAGGATGAATGTCGTATTTGATCAGACAAATTTTTGTTTGATGATTTTCCCTGTTCTTGCGATCAGCAGCGCACTGTACTTACTAGTTCGATAGTTGATCGACCCCTCCCCACCTCCAGCTCTACGGACTTTGGAGAATTGCCGTATTTCAAAAAATGTCCCCCTAAATATCAGTGCGCTGGTAAATACATGGGGACGTCTTCGCGTTGGGAAACTTTCAAAACACCACCTCTTCCCCCCCCTCTCCGCAAAACCGGCTGAAGGTGAACGTGTAGGCAGAGCTGCAACTGGCAAGGGGAGAGTTCCAGACTTCCCATTAGAAGAGTATGCAGCGCGTGCGAAATGGGAAAAACCAGTATTCACAAATTTCCGCCCGACTTAATACGGCCTCCTTCTTCCTGGAAGCGAGAAGAGTACAATGGGCACATCCTGCCGTTGAGGGGGAGGGGGAGTTTTCGCAAAATATGCGCCCACAAATGTTTCCCTCCTTGGCACGACCAACTTCTCTATCCTATCTTACTCTCTTCCTGGAGCTTCCCCACGTTCTCACCACTTGTCCTGAGTTTTCCTCGGAAGAGTGTCGTGGAGGGGGGGGGGCGGGTGGTAGGCTGAGCAAAGTTATAGCGACTGGGAAACAGTGAAGATCAAAGAAAGCCAACAACGGAAAAGCATTTTCACGAAGGCAAACACGACCCTCTACCCTTTGGCGGTCAAATAAAACCCCCCCTCGCTGGGAACCCCCACGCGCGACTGCCTTATCCCGGCATCCCCGATTGACGAGTTCCCAAGATAACGAGTCCTGACAGAAATGCAGCTCTCAATAATTTCTGCGGAGCCTCCCCTCTCTCTAGGGGAATCGGCTAACATTTCCGTTTTCTCGTTTTGCACGGCAAACTATGGCAATCAGAGAAATTCGAAGGTCATTCCAATCTTGTGGACATCCATCTCCCATGAAAAAAAAGCCCGCAGATGTCCCTTTCTCCCTGAACTGTTATCGTCCACTCATCTCTTCATCTTCCTTCGTTTACGATTCTACGCCCGAAAAACGAATGAGGGCGCTTCTTGTGATGTGTGTGCGATTGTGTGATGATCATGAAGGGGCAGAAACAGAGATGTCTCATGTCGTATGGCGATTGGCATACGTCGCAGGAATTATTCACCTATGAATTCCATGCGGCTACGACAGCACAAAGATGTGCTGCATAATGTGATATCGCCGTGGAATCGTAGATGAGTCTGTTGGATGTTCTCCCCCTTAGCCCATACGACCCTATTCACGCAGCGATAAACTTGAATGGCTCGGAAGGATGGTCTTTCTCAGCCTCTCTGACTCTCCCGCAGCCAACGAACGTGACCCGTCCTCCAAGGCGGGACTTTGCACTTCCGCTTAGCCGCATCTGCAGTGACCGAAGAGGAAAACACGCCTGGTCAACAAAGCCACTGAGCAGGTCGTCGGCGGAAAAGAATAGTCACGCAGAAATTCATGGGATAAAGGCTTCTGATGACATCGACTCTACCCCCTCCAACACTTACTAAGAGCAGAAAATAATCGCAAAACCCGAAGAAGGGGCAGACAATTTCGACTAGTCAACACTTTTTGGATGCGCCACATCGCCGTCATAACGTAGGCTTTGCAAGGACGATTGAAGGCGACTTGGAGAATTTTCTTCAAAAAGGCGACTGTGTAAGAAGCATAGGATCAGATTTATCCTGTAATCTCTTGAAGGAAAGACACCTCTGAATGAACCAAATCTCGGCGGTCTTGGGCGTATCACGGCGCTACATTTGACCCTATAGGGGTAGACCTTCTGCAGAACTTCAAGACACGAACAATACCATGCACACCACATTGGTGTACCATGGATGTTTGGCACCAGTCACCTATCAGTGTTTCAGTTTTCGAAATTTGGACACGAATTGTCTCATAGTCTGCCGAGGGATTACATCTGGCCAGCCGGTTGGCGCAGTTCGGTTGGTGGGGTAGGGGGGGCACTTAACGGCACTCAGCTAAGCTTTTACAGGCCATCGTTTGAAGAGCTGTAAATCCTGTTAACAACACAACAACTTGCTCACTCCATTTCGCAGCTTCGCAGGTGTTTACAGGTTACTCGCCTGTTACTCAAAATGAACTTACCAAAGGACTGACGAAAATGCAAAATGTCCCCTCCAAGCCGAACAACGTTTTGTTACCGGGGTAGTTTGATCCCTCAACACTAATATCGCCTTCAGTCTGGGGCAAAAATGCCTCCCACTTGTGATACAGGAGCCCGTGCCACGTTCCTTCACCTCGGGCCTAGGCACTAAGGGTTCTCTTATGAAATGAATGTGGTATTTCTATCAGGAAGGGATCCAGGTTAGCCTGCGAAAACTTCCAAGCGAAGTCTGTCGGGTGCAAGTGTCGACAATTCTTCACGGCGCATTCGGCTTGGTGGGGGCATTTCCTGGTTCCAATCGATCAGTGCCAATGCTTACTGTGGGGACCTGTAAATGCCTCCAAAGCTACGCCTAACAAGAGCTTCACTAACACTTGTCAAGAATCTACAAGTTTCACCAAGTTGTAACATGTAATTTGACAGGAACTAGCAAAAGCAACAAGCGAAAGTGCAAGTGCACCTCCCAAACCAAACAGAACCAATTTCAGTCTCACTTCCAAAAAAGCAGAGTTTCAAAGGGTCAACGGGGTGTAAGAAATTACGTTCCTCTCTTTGAGTGAATCGAAACCTACCGTGTGCAAGTGAACCCAGACAGCGAGTTCAATTTCACGGGAGGATTGTCGACTCTCCGGGTGGTACGCGAGGTTGTCGATTCGCGAGTAGTTGTAGTAACCTAAAAAATAGGATATGTATTTCCTACGGTAACCCCAGAAATTAACGTGACAAACCTTTCCTGAAGTGGAACTTTCCACAGTGACGTCATTGGGAGGTGGAACTACGCGCCCATGAGTCAACTGAATGAAATGCAAATAAGCGACATGGTGATCGGGGTGATCTTTAAAACGCCCCATTAAAACGAACCACCACATAAATCTCGTGTTCGATGTTTTCAACAGCGGTTAAGATCACATCCATCTCATCAGTGGCCGAGTCCAAATTGTCTCCGCATGCCACCTATAAAGATCTTTTATCAGCTATCGATTTTTTGGCGGAGTTTGGCTTGGTGGGGGCACCCAGTGGTACTCTGTGAAGCTTCCACAGGCTAGCTTGTGAACACCTGTGAATACCTTTGACCAAATGTGGCTCATTTGACGCATCACAAGTGTTTACAGGTCTCACAAGCATGGGACCTGTAAATTCACATGAACTAAACTTGCAAAGTACAAGATGCCCCTCCCAAGTTCCCGATTAACGAGGGGGCGGAGAAGAGACTGCGTCTTTACACCGAAGGCAAAATTTGCGAGGAGGGGGGGGGCGTATTTAGCAGGAGTCTAAGAAAAGCGATGATGTACCCTTCTGTACATCTACACATCTGATCGTCTCTTGCAAACCTCCAGCTAGACGAATGCTTGAGGAAGGGGTCTTTATAGGAAAGGGCAACATTTCACATCCCTATGATACCTCCTTTTTTGCCAAGACAGAACTTGACCCTGTTTCCGGCTCCCGTTTGGGTTTTGTGATAGCCAGAAACTGTTCCGATTTCCG